TCCATGGCGATCAAGGACAGCCAAATTGCTATTTTGGAGCCAGGGATCAGTGTGGAAAAACACTGCAAACATGCATATAAAAAAATGAATCCCCTTGCTGTAGGAAATGTAGGATTTACTACCTTCCTAATACAGTGACACCTCGGTTCACGAACTTAATTCGTTCCACGACTCTGGTCACAAACCGGGGCAAATTTTCCCATAGGGTTCAATGTAAATCAGGTTAATACGTTCTGACCCCTACGAACAGTCGCCAACCAAACCAAACTTTCCCATAAGGTTCAATGTAAATTAGGTTAATTTGAACTTTTCTGTTTTTGAGTCACAAAAATATGTGCAGTATGGAGAGAGAACCATAACCTTGCTTGAGACCACTTCTGGCATGGAGGACAGGAAGGCGGGTGGGAGGCGGTTATTGTTTGGGAAAGTCCCCCTCCATAAGGACATTGGGGAGATCTCCTTCACGGGTTTCCTCTGTCTCTTAGCTGCAGGCTCAGTTTTGGTGAAAAATCTGTCCAATGTCACTTGTCTTTTCCTGTGCTGCATAACTCTCCAAAAATGAGAGACCACGTTATCATTCATCAGATTCAACACTGTTCGTTACAGTTACGTTGGGGGTGGTGCTTCTAAAAAAAAAAAAAAAAAAAAAAAAAAAAAAAAAAAAAAAAAAAAGCGCCTTCTGCTGCTCACTGTGGAGTTCAGAAAGTTCTTCCATGGTCAGCTCCTCCTTATGTTCCTCAACAAGCTCCTTTATGTCTGCACCATTGACGTCCAGACCCATACTCTCGCTCTGCACGTTCTTGTCACCTTCATTACCGCTCTGCACTTTACCACCATGCTTGCTCTGAATTTTCTTTGGAGCCATACTGGACGTCCGCTACAGTATGTGCTAAAAAGCACACAAAAAAGCTTTACAGCAAGTATGCACAGGGATATACAGTACTATACAGCATGTGGTAAAAAGCACACCAAAAAGCTTCTCAGTACTGTGTCTTCACAGTACACTTTACTTTCATTGTCTGTCTGACCGCGAAGATGGCAGCGGCTCGTGTTCATCAACCGAAGTGGAGTTCGCAATCCAAAGCAAATTTTTGCGAACTACTCCGCTTACAAACGGAGTTCCTGAACAGAAGTATCACTGTACTTCCAGAACTAAAAGAGCCAACAGTTTGCCAATTGCCATCATTGTATTTTTTTTTATTTTTTAGACAACCAAGAGAAAGAATACACATGTACACCCCCCCCCCCCCCCAATAGGGCTACCTACTCAAAAAAAGTTTATTGAATAAAAAAAACTAAGTATACAGGTGAAACTCGAAAAATTAGAATATCGTGCAAAAGTTCATTTATTTCAGTAATGCAACTTAAAAGGTGAAATTAATATACGAGATAGACTCATTACATGCAAAGCAAGATAGTTCAAGCTGTGATTTTGTCAATTGTGATGATTATGGTTTACAGCTCTTGAAAACCCCAAATCCATAATCTCAGAAAATTAGAATATTGTGAAAAGGTGCAATATTCTAGGCTCAAAGTGTCCCACTCTAATCAGCTAATTAAGCCATAACACCTGCAAAGGGTTCCTGAGTCTTTAAATGGTCTCTCAGTCTGGTTCAGTAGGAATCACAATCATGAGAAAGACTTGCAAAAGAAGTTGCATGTTCCCAAAGTGCTGTATCAAAGCACATTAATAGAAAGTTATGTGGAAGGGAAAAGTGAGGAAGAAAAAGGTGCACAAGCAGCAGGGATGACCGCAGCCTGGAGAGGATTGTCAGGAAAAGGTCATTCAAAAGTGTTATGGACTTTCACAAGGAGTGGACTGAGGCTGGAGTCAGTGCATCAAGAGAGACCACACACAGACGGATCCTGGACATGGGCTTCAAATGTCGTATTCCTCTTGTCAAGCCGCTCCTGAACTACAAACAACGTCAGAAGCGTCTTACCTGGGCTAAAGAAAAACAGACCTGGTCTGTTGCTCAGTGGTCCAAAGTCCTCTTTTCTGATGAGAGCAACTTTTGCATCTCATTTGGAAACCAAGGACCCAGAGTATGGAGGAAGAATGGAGAGAGACACACTGCAAGATGCTTGAAGTCCAGTGTGAAGTTTCCACAGTGTGTGTTGATTGGGGAGCCATATCATCTGTTGGTGTTGGTCCACTGTGCTTCATTAAGTCCAGGGTCAATGCAGCCGTCTACCAGGAGATTTTGGAGCACTTCATGCTTCCTTCCGCAGACGAGCTTTATGAGGATGCGGACTTCTTTTTTCAGGAGGACTTGGCACCTGCCCACACTGCCAAAAGCACCGAAACCTGGTTCAATGACCGTGGGATTACTGTGCTTGATTGGCCAGCAAACTCGCCTGACCTGAACCCCATAGAGAATCTATGGGGCATTGCCAAGAGAAAGATGAGAGACATGAGACCGAACAATGCAGAAGAGCTGAAGGCTGCTATTGAAGCATCCTTGTTTTCCATAACACCTCAGCAGTGCCACAAGCTGATAGCTTCCATGCCACGCTGCATTGAGGCAGTAATTGCTGCAAAAGGGGCCCAAACCAAGTACTGAGTACAGAGTACATAAGAATGCTTATATTTTTCAGAGGTCCGATATTGTTCTATGTACAATCCTTGTTTTATTGATTGCATGTAATATTCTAATTTTCTGAGATTGTGGATTTGGGGTTTTCATGAGCTGTAAGCCATAATCATCACAATTATGACAAATCACGGCTTGAACTATCTTGCTTTGCATGTAATGAGTATCTCATATATTAGTTTCACCTTTTAAGTTGCATTACTGAAATAAATGAACTTTTGCACGATATTCTAATTTTTCAAGTTTCACCTGTATATGCATCACAAGTACAGTGCTTTGAAAAAGTATTCATACCCCTTGAAATTTTCCACATTTTGTGACGTTACAACCATAAACGTAAATGTATTTTATTGAGATTTTATGTGATAGACCAATACAAAGTGGCACAGGATTGTGAAATGGAAGGACAATGATAAATGGTTAGTGTGACGTGCATTTATATTCAGCCCCCATGTCAATACTTTGTAGAACCACCTTTCACTGCAATTACAGCTGCAAGTCTTTTTGCGGATGTCTCTACCAGCTTTGCACATCTTGAGTAAACGTTTTGCCCATTGTTCTTTGCAAAATGGGCTCAAGCACTGTCAGATTGGATGGAGAGCATCTGAGCACAGCAAATTTCAAGTCTTGCACAGATTCTCAATTGGATTTAGGTCTGGACTTTGACTGGCCCATTCTAACACATGAATATGATTTGATCTAAACCATTCCATTGTAGCTCTGGCTGTATGTTTAGGGTCGTTGTCCTGCTGGAAGGTGAACCTCCACCCCAGTCTCAAGTCTTCTGCAAACTAACGGGTTTTCTTCTAAGATTGCTCTGTATTTGGCTCCATCCATCTTCCCATCAACTCTGACCAGCTTCCCTGTCCCTGCTGAAGAAAAGCATCCGCACAACATGATGCTGCCACCACCATGTTTCATGGTGGGGATGGTGTGCTCAGGGTGATGTGCAGAGTTTTCCACCACACATAGCGTTTTGCTTTTAGGCCAAAAAGTTCAATTTTGGTCTCATCTGACCAGAGCACCTTTTTCCACATGTTTACTGTGTTCCCCCCACATGGCTTCTTGCAAACAGGACTTCTTATGGCTTTCTTCTTGCCAGTCTTCCATAAATGCCAGATTTGTGGAGTGCACAGCTAATAGTTGTCCTGTGGACAGATTCTCCCACCTGAGCTGTGCATCTCTGCAGCTCCTCCAGAGTTACCATGGGCCTCTTGGCTGCTTCTCTAATTAATGCTCTCCTTGCCTGGCCTGTCAGTTTAGGTGGATGGCCATGTCTTGGTAGGTTTACAGTTGTGCGATACTCTCCATGTTCGGATGATGGATTGAACAGTGCTCCGTGAGATGTTCAAAGCTTGGGATATTTCTTTTATAACCTAACCCTGCTTTTATCTTCTCCACAATTTTATCCCTGACCTGTCTGGTGTGTTCCTTGGCCTTCATGATGCGGTTTGTTCACTTAATGTTCTCTAACACACCAATTGCCAGAAGGCAATTGGTTCCACTGGATTTTAGTTAGGGGTATCAGAGTAAAGGGGGCTGAATACAAATGCACACCACACTTTTTAGATATTTAAAACATTTGAAAACCATTTATCATTTTCCTTCCATTTCACAATTTTGTGCCATTTTGTTGGTCTATCACATAAAATCCCAATAAAATACATTTGTTTTTGGTTGTAACATGACAAAATGTGGAAAATTTCAAGGGGTATGAATACTTTTTAAAGGCACTGTTAAGTCCCAGTGACCCCACTGTGTTTCCTAGATCATATCAGCTGTGTAGTATTGATAGCGCAGGGTGGATTGGGGACACATGAGAGGTGGTTGTGATGGTACTGACCCCCCAGCATACCATCTGCATACAACCCCGTTTGCTTTATGCTGGATGCACGGCTACTGCTTAGGATAACACCCACAATCAACTACTATATTATGGACTGGTTCCGCTGTAATTCGGCACTTTGTCAGATAATGAAAAATGAAGGTTCATGCCTACAACATTTTCTTGCCATGTTTTGTAAAATTGTATCTTTTGGACAATTATTTACTGAAGTGATTTCGGCAGGCTCCTTGCCACAGTTTTGTGGGCCATGTTAAAGGAAAGAAAACAAGAAAAATTAGATAGCCATATGTTTATAGACGTGCGCAAGCATGTAGTAATGTTTAAATACACTCAGGGAAGACTTTAAAACAGACTGCAGGACCCCACTATCACTAGCTGGGAAATGTGGGCCTCATGAAATAAACAGCACCAGATGGAAATTTTGATCACTTTAAATTGTGCAACTACTGAGACAAACCGTACCATCTATTCTTGGAGATCACAACAAACCACCTATTGTGAGAAGATGGTTATCCTATGTAGTACTATATAAAAAGTAAATATCCTGCACCATTATGTACCTTGAGATAGGATCCATAGTACTTTGTCACGAAAGGGCTGTCGCACTGACTAAGAACGGTTATTTCTTGTTGTATATCTTCTATTTCATCCTCTGCTTCTTCCAGATCTATGATTTTTATAGCAACCACATGCTGAGTCCGGTTATCAATACCCTTAAAAACTTCTCCAAAAGACCCCTTTCCAATGCGTTCAAGTTTTGTGAACAACTCTTCTGGATCGGCCCGGTGGTTCTAGGTGAAAAAAAAAAAAAAAAAAAAAAAATCAGAGTTCAAGTGTTAACATTTTTAATGGGCCCCCTGTATAATAATAATAATTACATCACTTTCTACACAAGCCTAAAGCAGAGCATTAGCTGCATCCTGGTTTGGAGGAAAATGCTGTTGTGCTGGTAATAGATTTTCATTTGCATATAAATCTGTCCCAAGGACAGAAGTATACTCTAGGCAGGCCCTGGGGAACCTTTCAGCAACACATATGAATGTGACCCGCTAGAACATTGACAAAAACTACACATAAGCCTTTGTAAGGATTAAGGACCTTCCTAAATTATGCAGCCAATCTGTACCCAACCAGGTACTTTGCATTACACAGCTGTTGACAGAACATTTTTTCCCTCAGAAAATTGGTGCAGAAACTGCATAACCCTTTGTCACTCTTGTTTCCGTCCCCTACCCACCTTCCAGCACTACACCCTTTAAAAAATAAGTCCTCCCACAGCAACCATATGGAATGAGGCAGTGTGGAATATGGAAAGTACAGCATAGCATACGAAAAGGGACGATGCAAAATAGGGAATTTACAGCACGGAACATAAGATGAGGCAGTGTAAAATAGGGGTATTACAACATGCATACAAAGCAGGGGGTGTATAATAGGGAATGTGAAGCAGGCATATGGAATTAGGCAGTGTAGAATAGGGAACAAACAGCATGGTATATGAAATGAGGCGGTGTGGAACACGAAACATATGGAATAAGTCAGTATGGAATAGGGAACAAACAGCATTTGAACATGGAATGTACTAACAAATATTTGTACCTTAAATTGTTACTAAACCCACAACAGTAAAATCAGTCTATATATGCAGTAAAGCATGCTTGTTATACTCACTGTGGAAGGGGTTAATCCTCCACATTATGTAAAAAAGCAGTTTGATCCTGTCTTCTCTGATCCTCCCCATCTTTTACTGTCACCAATCAATCTACCATAGTACAGAGCAGCAATGGCAAGACTGCACATGCTCTGCTTGGTGTGTATTGATAGAGTTTTTAGGGGGTGGGTGCATGTGATAGGCACAGGGCCAAATCAGTGCTACCCAGAGGGTCAGGGGTCATGCAACCTCATAGGAAAGTCAGAAGGGAATGAAAATGCCCGCTACAAGATTAACCAGTCCTCAGCCAGCCACTAAAAGAAGTCACAAGACTACTATATACTGCTGATGAGAAAAGGTATTTAGCAGTTTATATTACTAAAATAATTGCAATTCCATGTTCTGTGGGAGACCAGATCAAATGTACGGTCACATGTTTAGTAACACTATTAGAATGATGCTAGGTCAAGTCAGACTTCCATCAGTGTGGGCCTGCCATTGATCGCAAAATTAGCTTAGCCTGCTGACCTCAAAAACACACCCTGCTCTTGTCTTCTCTTCCAGGAGCGCAAGAGCAGAGTGGAGAATTATTCCTCCCCTTTAGTTAAGCTGTGTACCATTCAAACCTGGAGTTATCGCATTGACAGAACGCTCAAGTCAATACTGCTGTCAAATGTAAACAAGCAGCCAGCTGTTAAAAAAAAAAAAAAAAAAAAAAAAAACCACAACAAAAACACCTCACTTCCTCTGCAACGCTTTGCATTATAAGAGATCATCAGAGCCCAGCAAAAATAAAGTAGTACATCTTCCTGACTGTTTGCACTGTCTGTCACAGTAAATCCCCATTGCCTGGAGGTCCTGAAACTGGGGACAGACACTGCTGCTGTCCCTGAGTGGCGCAGCCTCCCCCAGTCAGGACCTGTAAATGTCAGAGGTGCTGGTACAGCACCTAAAAAATAGTCCTGGTTGTTGGTAGATCTGAAGAGGATTGTACTTTCAAGAATGTAATGTGTTTGTTGAGCTGTACACAGGCCATTGTAAACACAATCTACTTTATGCACTGAGAATGGAAAGGATTCACCACAGCCTGACTGTGGAAAACGTTTTGTTTATTAAAATGGCAGAGGATAACGCTTATGTGTTTCAGGCTTACAAGCCACTTCTTAAAATGATACATCATATATATATATTAATTAAAATATATTAATATATTAAAGCGGCACTTCACCCTACCCAACAATGTCTCCATTAGTAATGAATATCTCTGGCTTCAACCTTTGGAAATTATATATATTTTACACATACATACATACACACACTTTTTTTTAAAATTCCCATCACTTCTGGCCTTGTGGCTGCAGCGATGTACGTCACCCATGATGTGCCACTGACTCCTGGGATATCTGTCAATCGCAGGTCAATCTTTTCTGGCATCGTGTTCCCTGTTGACAAGTTGCCATTACAGGACGGGAACTTCCGCCGATGTTGCCATTGCTATGGCAACTTGTCAACACATTGACCCTGTTGCCATACACACGCACCATGTTGTTACTGCGCATGCACGAGATTGAGATGCACATGCTGGGTAGCCAGCAGTACAAAATACAGTACAGTAGAGAACGGTGGCTTTAGATGCCAGTAGATGACATGGTCACCGCCCGCCGTTCAACAGCAACAGTTTGGGTAGGGATTTCAGTCATTTAGACACTATTACCATTAAGAACAATACCTAATGTGAGATGAGCGATCTTTAACAAGCACAATCATATTTATTTAAAATAATTCTGGCAGACTGTAGCTCCTCTAAGAGCCTGAAAGTCCAGACTGAGCTTATTTAAATGTTAATTTAAAAAAGTAATGCTAATTTACTCCACTGACATTTTTAAAAGAATACATCCTACAAAAAGGTCAGCAATCAAAACTTTTAGCACTTGGGAAAATAGAGACTGCACAAGATATTTAGACAGTGTGAATGGTGTTGATCTTTTAATATAACAAAATTGCTGAATACGGTCCTCTTAGCAGTTACTGTTAGAAAATCAAAATTACTATCTGGGTGTTTAACATTTAGCTACTGCCCAAGGAGCTTAGTAAGGTAGTTGGACACCAAAATGGTTTGCTTAAGTCAGAGGTGTTCAACCTTTTAGAGTGCAGGCCACTTAAGTGATTAGTTAACCAGCCACGGGCCACAATGAAATAAAATAGTTCAGAATTTAATTTTTTTTTTTCTATTTAAAATGGCATATTGAGCATTTTCCTCCTGAGGAAAGGAGGAGAAGCCATCTTTCAGTGGTTGCAGGAGGAAAATGGAGAGGATCAGTTCCTGTTTATGCCATCCCAGTCACCCCTCCTGTGCAAGTGTAAAACAGAATGCATCAGGGAGGCCGCATGGGCCCCCTGGAGGAAGGGGTGGGGGCGAGACACCATTGTGACCCAGCACTACAACAGTGGCTGGGGTGGGGGGGGGGGTAGGGTAAAAACACATCTCAACTATGGGGCTTTAACACCTCCCAAAGCACAAATGAGCCCTTACTGTCATGAGCCTCCTATCAGGATGCTTTCACACTAATGTGCTGCAGTGTAACCACACCCTGCGGGTTAGCTGCACTTGGCCATATGAGTTTTATTATATCTTGCGGGTGTAATGCAATTTCTGAAGGCTCACCAAAACTCCTGCATTCAGGAGTTTTGGTGTGCCTTTAGAAAGTGCACTACACCCTCAGGTTATAATAGTTTATGACCCCAGGCATGCGCTTCCCTGGTGTGAGGTCGAGGGCCACATCAGAGGGCTCCGAGGGGCGCACGTGGCCAACAGGCCACAAGTTGAGCACCACTGGCCTAAGTAGTTCTAAAGGCAGGTGGGTTTTTTTTTCACCTTAATGTGTTCTATGCATGGAGGTAAAAACCTTGCTGCAGCTATCCCATCAGCTCCCACTTATACTTAACCAAGTCCTATCTTGCTCAAGCGACGTGCACGGTCCCAGGTCTCTTTCCTCATTGGCTCACACAGCAGCAGGAGCCACATAGCCTCGTTGTGTGTGAATGAAAAATGTCTATTCACAGGAGCGCAGCTTGGGAGCGAGCCTGCTTGAGTGCCTTATAGCAAGAGGGTTGGGGCTGCTCTGTGCAAAACCATTGCACAGAGCTGGTAAGTACAACATGTTTTGTTTGTTTTAATTCCAACCTTTAGAATCACTTTAAAGTGGACCTTGCATATATAAATAAAAAAAACAAAAACTTCTTAGACCCTTAACTCCCCCTCCCTGAAAATACTCTAGTGGCACCTAGGGAAAGGAAATGGCACAGACGTTTTGGAGAAGTCTAGAAGATCCCAGATCTCATAAGAGGTTCGCATGACATTCAGGATCTTCAGTGTTCCCTGGCTCTTGCCAGAACTCCAAGGATGTCACTCTTGCCTAAGCCATTCAGGTGGAAGGGGGTGTAGTGCACGATCTTATAAATTGATACAAGGTCTGCTTTAAGAGAAATGAACTATGCCCACAAAAAGGCAGAGGGCAAAGGACTAGTCAACACTATTGTCTGCTGTCTTCTAGCAGTTAACCTTTCCCCTTTTTTGACCTACCTTGCCAACAAGTTAGAGACTGAAAGCAACCATGACTGGTTGCCATGGACAGTTGCCCAACTTTCCTTTATGCCGGTTTAAAGCCTATTTAATAAAGATAACAAGTTTGCATTGGAATTTAAAAATGTATAGAATATTTTACTTGTCCTGAAGTATACAATTGAAAAAAAATAAATATAAAAATTGCTCAACAAACTGATGAGTTTGCATGTTAAATATTTACGTATTTAAGTATTTACTTCTGGCTTGCTGATCAGGAAAAAAAAAAAAACTGCATTCCATATGCCACCAGACTAATCCCATAATCCTTAGCAACTGATTATCTAAAAGTGACTGCACATGTGAAGCACTGGAACACAGATAGCTTTTTTTTCATACTATCAAATACTGAAAAAGAGGCCCTATCTCAATAGAAAATATGGTCAAGTGCCAGGAGTCTGGAGAATTAATGCCATGGAGACTGATACAAAAGCACAGTACATAGAGCGTCTGACCCCTGCTGTCAACCACAGAGACAACACAGTTAAAAACTTATAAAGCTAGTGTAGGTCAAGGGA